GGGGGGGGGCGAGGAAACAGTGGCAGAATCCCAGGGGAGGGGGGTGGATCGTGGAGACCGCCGCCGGAGTCCCGGGCGCGGGAAGACGGAGGGGTCGCGATCCTGGAGTCCGAGGGGCGCAGAGACGGCGGCTGGAGTCGGGAGGACAGGGAGACGGCGGCCGGAGTCCGGGCAAAGCGGAGACGGCGACAGGGTCCTGGGGGACAAGGAGTTGGCGGCTGGAGCCCGGAGGTCGCGGAGACTGCGGCTGGAGTCCGGGGGGGAGGGGAGGGACGCGGAGAGAGCAGCTACATTCTGGACGGCACAGAGACGGCGGGTGTCCGGAGTGGGGGGCGCAGCAAAGCTGACCGCCCCGTCACACCATGCCCGGGGCTCCCCCAGCCGGGCCGCCCGTTCCTCTCGGGCTGGGGGACCCCAAAGTCATAAGTTGGGGTGGGGGGCGCTCTAGTCCCAGAGCCCCCCGAACCGCAGCCGGTGGAGCCGCGCGGGCGTCCGCGAGGGGCTGCGGGGCATGTCCGGGGAAGCAGCAGTCCGGGGCTCGCCGCGCTCCTGCGCCGCCCGAGCTCAGACGGAGCCGCGCCGCCGCGAGCCGGGACTTTGCGAACTGTTGAGCTGCCCGGGGCCGATCTTCCAGCGAGTTCCGACGCCGCCGCCGTCGCCTGCCCAGACTTGGCCCCGCCCCCTGCCCCTCCCCCTCTCTCACCCCCCTCCCCCCACGGGCTCTTCAGGAAATGACGTCCCGCCTCGCGCCTGGCGGTTGCCTGGAGACGGGGTGAAACAGTCCAGCCCAGGGGAAGAAAGGGGTGAAAGTGGGGGTTGGGGTGGGAGGAGCTCCGGGGGCACTGCGAGTCCCCCCTCCCCCACTTCTCCAGCCCCAAGTTGAGATGAGGTGGGCTCCAAACCTGTGCTCTTTTGGGATCGAAGCCTAAGCCTCAGGACCGCTTTGGAGCAATTAGCCAGCTAGCTAATTCACAATTATGGGGGGAAATAGCCAACTTTTTGCCTCTAAAATACTAAACGCTCCAGGCTCGGTTTTCTACCTTAAAACGTTGCGCTCCCCTCTTGCACGCCCTGACATACGAGTTCAAGTGTTTATGTGGACGATCGTTGGGCACCTACTGTGTCCAAGAGTATATACAAGCGTATACTGGTGCCTGCCTACTGGACCACTGCCTGGTAGGCGGGAAAGCCGCTTTCAGAAATAAAAGTGTACACAACTCGCGTACACACATACACAAATGGGTGAGTGTAAAACTGGTGAAATCTGAACAAGGTGGGTGGATTGTATATCAATGTTAATGTACTGGTTGTGATCTTGTAAACACAGGGGAAAACATGGGATGTCTCTGTATTATTTCTTACAACTTCATGTGAATCTACAATTATCTCAAAATAAAAATTTTAAAAATTTATATAAGGGATTGGGAAGAAAAGTATTCTGCGTCTTCCCATCCCAAGACGAAATGGGAAGATATTCCAAGGTGTGGCCTAGAGCCCTCCTGTCCCACCCCACTCCCCCAAATGTGATCTAAATTCAAAGGTGGCTTTCTAAGGATCACACACACACACACACACACACACACACACACCTTCCAATCAATTGACTCTCCTAAATTGTTCTCCAATAGAAAGCTTTATTTTCCCTAAAAACAGCGTGGAATTGCCAGTGAAAACTTATGTCCGTGGGAGAGATCAAATATCACCTAACAGAGTAGTTTGAGCTAGCCCCAGAAAGATGGAGCATCCATTTATCTATTCACTTACTTATTTGGTCACTCTTTATTCAGTGTTTTCCAAGCACCTATTCTGTATTGGGTCATGTACTGGGTGTTGGAGACCGTGGTTAAAAAAATGAAATC